GTTCAATCCCTACTTCTGCTCATTTCGATCTATACTACGTTTCGCCTTATGTTGTACCGCAGACAAGACTAGAAGCGCGAGCTCATAGCGTTGGGAACTACTCTTAACGCACGAGAGCTTGGGCCGCCCAGATGTGCCCTAGAGCAAGGAGCTCGCGCTTGTAGCCTTTCATGTGGCACATCATAAGGTGAAACAGAGTACAGATGAGCATTGTACCGGCGTGCGGACGTGTATCACTGGCTTGTAATGGCTGATCGTAAAGATCAAGTTGGATTTAAATTTGGATTAAAGCTCGTGACTTAGCGCAACAATGTGTGGTAACGTATTTCTAATAAGACGACGAAGTTATTTATGAAAAAATGCGTATGTACTGTAATATTTTGCGTGCCCATTACTTACCCATCGTTATTGCTATAATTTTGGAGTGACAAAGTTTTCCCGTGTAGCACCAACACACTTGGAGTGTGTTTCGACGGGTTGAAGTGCACTTGCTTGCAGTGACACTAAACTAGCCCGTCTGGACAGGGGTATTATTTTCTTCCTTCTTTTTATCTCTCTCAAGGGAAACGCAGCACCATAATTCTGTCTAAATTTAGTCTCAAAGATTTTATAGGCACGGCCCGTCTCACGTTCTTCGTAGACGTGATCCCAACTTTCTTGTTCTACGAGGCAGCCAAAAGTTTCTAGTGAGTCATCGTTTGGTGGGCGGTGCCAAGACGTTTGTTTTTCGTTATGTTCCCCAGTTAAATAAGACCCAAAACAGATGGGAAGATGGTTACTAAAGTCGTATAAAATAGAGCCAGCTGTTATATGACCACTATCTAGGCTTGTGATGCAGACGTCAAGAGATGTAGCAGTGCCTGTAGTCACCCTGGTCGGTTGTGTTATCACATTGTTACAGGCATACTGGTGGATGATGTCACGTAATTCTCTCCCATGACGGTCACCCGAAAGTGTGTCTATGTTCACATCTCCGAGAACAATGAATGACACAAATAACGACCCAAGGATGCGTAGTGCGTTTTCAAGAAATTATATAAATTCAAACACATTGCCAGAGGGTGGTCTGTGCAAGGCAGCAACTACAGTATTAGATGTTCTAACGATTAACCTTTTGACATTTTCGTCCATTTTTGGTAAGTCATTCATAACTTGAGACTGTAGGTTATTCTTAAGATAAATGGCTATACCACCGCCCCTTTTTTCTTCTCTGCTCAGATGTTCGTATTTATAACCCTGCAGGTACGGTAGCGTGTCTTCTTTAGAGAACCAGGTTTCAGTGAGTGCTGTGGCTTCGAATTTCACACTCAATGAGTGTAAAAATATTTCTAGGTCATCTACCCTATTTTTTATGCTCCTTGTATTTAAATGTATAGATGTGAACTGTCTCACTTTTTCCATATTTTTTTTATTAATTCTGACAATCGTAATAGTTACAATCAGGTTGAGTGTCCTCCATCACAATGGTTTTGCGTGTATCCCGTGGGTTAGTCATCTTATTTAGTTTGTTATTTTTTCAACGTCAGCCAGGTTAGCAATTCGTAGAACATTTGGTTGCTCATCCTTTCTCGCAAAGATTTTCCCACCCGAGGACCACGCACACTTTTAGCCAACCGTTTTTTTCTTGGCTACAGAGGTACCCAAAAGTTTTTTGTTTGAACTCGACAGATGTTCGTTGACGTAAACAGGGCTGCCGATCCCACCATAGTAAATATTTTCAATTGTCATGTTCTGCTTTTTGGCTTTCCGAAAAATTTGATCTCGTTTAGCGCGTTGCACGATGCGAACAATTATGCTCTTTTCAGAGGGCTTGAAGGTGGGGACGCGGTGACATACGTCAATATCCGAGTAAAGGATCGGCTCATTCAGGAGACTCCCAATTCTTTTAACGTCGCATGCGTCACCTTCCTCTGGCACTCATTTTATTTAAAGGTTATTACATCTTTTATATTGCTCAAGATGTGAAATTTTTTCGTTTAGCCTTTGGTTCTTGACGGTTAGTTTTTCGTTTTTTTTTTTGTTAGTTTCTGAACATATTTTCGGAATCTTTTCATCTCATTTTTAATTTCGTTGACTCCGTCACAAGTGTCGTTACAAAACTTCACACTGTCTTTTAGAGTTCTGAGTTCAACCCCCAGTTCGCGTCGATCTTCAATGGCTTTCACAATGTCTTTCGTTTCTTTACTCCCGACGACACGGAGCTTCGTCACTCTCAAAAAGACAGTTTCAATATACTAAGAGTTGTTGCTGTGTTCGGCAGCACTGCACAGACGCTTTACTGAGTTTATACAAGAAACATGTGGTTCTCACCTGCAGAAATACAGATCTTTAGATGTTGCTTCGGTGCGCACTGCGCACTGCTGCCGAACTGAGGTCTGGCATGTTGGGCAGGCTTCCTTTGTAGAATTGTGCGAGATTTCCCTGATATCTTGGGTTCGATCCTCGCCCTTGCCTGTTTCAATCCGAATGAGCGTTGTGCAGGCGTGTGTTCTTGTAAACACTATTGCGTGATGCACGTCAAAGACTCAAGAATGCCAATCGTACCGCACTGGCTTAAATGTTTTTCCTATGGCGTGAACTGGCGTTGCCTTATTTCAAAAGGTAGACCTATATCACGCTGTCTATAAACTCATTTGCTTTTTTTGTTGTTTTTTCTTTGCAATATTTTGGTTAATTTGGGGACCGTAGAACTTGGCGGGGCTCACGTTTAAGCTAACAAAACAAGATAGAGTGAGTAGGCAGGCGAGCTGGTGGATGTTACACATTTTTTGTGAAACCGGAGACGACGGACGAAAAGTTTAAACGTTTTGTGTGTTGTCCCCTTTTTCGTCCGTCCGTCTCCGGTTTTTCAAAAATGTGTAACAAAACAATCTTTTTATAATGATGGCAGGAATGTGAAAAGGGCATTTTTGAAAAGAAAACATCGCAAAAAATTAGTTTATTGCACGAAATGTTGCGTTCGCGTACTACAAGCATGTAAGGGTAGCAAACGAAATGCACTCTAAGGATATTACACATTGCAGTTCGGGGAGGAGGGGGGGGGGGGGCACATTTAAAGTCATTTTAAGGAGAACTTTGGTAGTAGTCACGACAAAAAAGATTCATTTCAACAACTGTTGCCCTTGGCTGACAGATTACGTCACAAAATGTACGTGTATAAAAAGGAAACGTATTTTAAAGTTAGTAAAGCCACTTGAGCTAATTTTTACAACCTCAAAGTGCATAAAGGAGAAGGCCGTGCAGTTGGTTAAAACGTTATAAGGCACTTGTGTACAATACAACATTTACCTACCGTAAAAAAAAAAAAAAAAAAAAAAAATCACTCTTCGTGCGAACGCTAATGTTACCGTCCATCTGTCTGCTGAGGGTATTTTAAATTCAACCGTTGTATAGCAAAATATAGCAAAGAAGATCATTAACATGCAATTTTTTATACATAAAAAAGTGCAGGTAAATTAAAAAAAAAAACAGACAAATATTCGGTATGTATACTACTGCAGTGTCATGAGGCCTTCTACAGCTTATCAAGAGCGTAGCTGGAATGTGTCGCATGTGCGGATTAAAGAAAGTCACGCACCCATGTACGAGCCTCTATGCGGTTACTGACATTTTGAGAAATGCGTGGCGTCCCAAGTCCCGAGCATCTAATTATCGCTCCACAGCCAATGAGATTGCCGCATAACGCCGATAAGAACTCAGAAAGACCAATCACGAAGCGACGGCTGTGAACGTAATAAGCCACACCCTGCGTTTCTTTAGCTGTCGGTGACTATGCGGGGCGCAAGTTCGTCTGCTTTTTTTGCAAGAGTTGTCGTGACGTCAGAACAACGCCGAGTTCGGATTGGCTTTGATTGATTGGATAGTGGGCAGACCTCAATGCTAGATGCCTTCAGGTCTACCCACTATTTTTTTTTTTTCAATCAGCCAATAAGAAATCGGCGTTCCGACATCGTCGCAACTCCTGTGCGAGAAGCAGACGAACTTCCTTTCAGCACAGAAAACGTTATGATTATCTTGTTCGGTCAACACCAACCCAATAAGGCAGCCAAGCATCGAATGAAAGACAGGCGAATGTGCGTTGACACAGCGCCCCAAGAAAACATTCAACTACTTTGTGTTTGCAGAAATACCTAAAATGACTTGTTGGCAAACTTTTTTTTTTTATTCTAATGACGCATTTTTGTCGGAAGACTGCTGACGACAAGAGGCGCTTATTTACAAGCATTTCCACGGAAGCATTACTACCGATTCAGCACTGAGTAGGTTTTGTCACGTCTGCACGGAAAACAGGTTCAACGTTTGCCGGGTTGGCTTTAGCTCTACTGAATTCGTAACGTCCTGGCGAAAATATTTCAACGGTAATGCTACTTAGCCGGGAAGTTTAAGTCACCATAGTAGTCAAAGCATAACTTCATCAGCTATGATACAAAAAAAGAAAGAAGAAGAAAAACAGGGTGAGGGAAGGTTTTATGACTTAAGCATACATAGCTAACCACTTAAACATTGAAGCTGTAATGGTTTTGGTTTTTACGCGAATAAACACTTTAATACAAGGTCTGGTTTTAAAAATATATATTATGTTGATAAATGAACAGACCCTACCTTTTTACTTTGACGCATCGCTCCCATTCAGTCCATCATCATCAGAAAGAACGTAACGAACCAGTAATGACAACGTGTTTGCAATGAACTTCGTCATTATTTAACGTAGGTACCTATTGCATAGAAATTTATTGTATTGTGCCCAAACGGAGGCTATTACTATGGAGTGATCTGTGTTGCATAATTATTTCTTCACTGAAGTTTACTACATAAAGACACACCTCAATTTAATCAGCGAGTCACTTTCAGTCAAAATAACATCTTGGGATTGTCTCTTTGGGTTGCGCAGAATCGGGCTTCAAACAAAAAAGAAAACATATAATACAAACATATAACAGGAAACAAAACATCTTCAAAACAGTGATGAGCAATTAAGTCACAATGGTCTGAAATCACTGTTAAGTTTAGACTATACAAACGCCAAGTTTATTGCACAAAAGAAACAATGTAAAGCCAAAGCAACAACACCACGAAAATACAACCTTAAGGCACAATGCAGGTTTTTTACCCCATATTTTTATGAAAAAATAGAAATCTTGACCAAATTACAGCCCGGGTTGTGCGAAGAAACACAAAAAAGATAACTGGCCAGAAAAGTATGTCTACAGTAGGTGCAGGAATCAATAAAAGTAGGCAGTTTTGCTTCGTGTAAGTATGACTTGTGCGTCCTGAACAGCAACAAGAAACGACGCGTGGTTTCTGTGAATGTAGACATTTTGGCCGGAGGAGAGTTTAGCAACAAGATGTGGTAAACAGCACATCTTTTACAGTGGTGACACGTTTTGAGCAGCGCTTGTGCGCATTCACCACAACGCCAGTGGAAGAGCAGTTAAAGCTTCGGAACCTTCAAAGACTGACAGTGGGCATCAGTCATGCACACAGTTCCCATCGGGAACACATGCTGGAATGGAACAGACCCAAAGGGGATTGGGAACAATTCAGGAATGGTCCACGAAAACCCTCCCGAAAGAGGCGGGGAGCCATGCAGGGTCCTGCGCAGTAAGCTTCAGGTGCACAGGACTGTCCTCACTGCGGTCTTCAGGTAGCGCCTGCCCGACCGAAGGGCAGAGAATCGAGCCTCTGAGGCCGTGTCGGTGCTGCGGGCTGGGACGGTCACCTGCGCTCTGAGCAGACCCCGTCCCTGCAGGCCTGGCAGAGGTCAGCGTTGTGCGGGTTGCGGGGCTTTCCGGGTCGCCGGTTTTTGTGAATGGGCGGCTGCTGGAAGCCGTAGTACACCTGGCCCACGCGGTTGTAGATGTTGACGAGCACCTGCGCCGCGAGCAGCACGACATTCTGACGAAGCTGAAGACTAATGGCGAGGCAGCGGACGAAGGACTAGTGTCTGTGGCAGGTTAAGAGTAGCAGCACTAATTTCTTCCACAGAGCTCTTCACTCTTTCCATTTTAGCGGAGCGAACGCTGGAGAGCAGGTGAGTGGGGAGAACCACCAATCATAGGCGAGCAGAGAGGTTTGTGGAAGCTGCGTGTCCTGCTATTCTTAACTTGAAACAGACTCTAAAGAAGCATAAAATAGATCGGGACATATGAACGAATGTCGTTTCATCGACATTTAATCGTATTCGCTTGACCGAATGCCGTTTCATCCAACACCAATACATCTAATGCGGTCTTATTGAAGCCGCTTTGAACATTGTATCATCGAAAACCAACATAGCTTTAAACAAAAAGGAAGGAAGGCGGTTCTCACCGAAGGTAGTGTCCTCCGAGGAGGAAACTACCATGGTCTGTTACAGGTTAAGAAAAACAGGACAAGCCTACCACAAAGCTCTTTAAACGCCCTCATTGGTGGTTTCCGCCTCTCCAACAGACTTGGAAGTAATCCGTTACAAGTAACGGGATTACTTGTAATTAATTACTTTTCTAGCATATTAGTAATTAATCTGTTACTTTCTTAAAAGAGTAATTTGTAATGTTTTTTTTCCTGTTTTTTGCCTGTTTTTCGTACTTTTTCAGTAACGAGTTGCTGAAATTACTCGTTACAATTATTCTACCCCGTCAAAGGCAGAGATAGAGTGAAAAAAAGACGATGCAATGGTCTTGTCGCTTTGACCGGTAACACAAGACGAGGTTTGTTGCGAAGAAAGTGCTGGCGAGTTAAAAGAAAGGAATTCACGAAAAGCACGAGAACCCAGCCAGAGCCTGTTTCTGGACTCGTTCGTACGGTCGGCCAAGCTGAAAAGATTCGACTGTCTATATGAAGGCAACAGGCTTCGACTTCTTGGAAAACCAACAAAGTGTTTTGAGTGCGCAAAAGAGCAGAAGACTAATGGCTCATTAAACCGTCGCGTGGGGTTCGTGTCGAGTAGGACCGTGGACCAGTGACCGTGGTGCATATGTCTGCTCCCTTCCTGCCCCCCCCCCCCCCCAACTCTACCCTCCTCCTTCTCTCTCCACGCCCCCGCCCCTTGTCCCCCAAAAACAAAGCTTTTTTTTTTTTTTTGTCGTTGTCATTCGAAACCGTTTTTGCTTGTCGATGTTTCTGCCTACACACGCCCTCCCCGGAAACACAGGAAAAGCTCTAATGAGACCTCGCCCCTGCTCATCCTTGACAGCGCTGTAAAAACTAAATATCTACTGGACCAAACAGCTACGTGGCTTCTTTCACTGGTCTTCGCACTAGCGGATGCGTATGGCATAAAAACATAAGAAGTGCGATGGCAGCAGTTCATTGGAACAGAAAAAAGAATTCAGCATCAACCCTGTTATCAGTTTAAGGAGTAATGTTTGACTGCAGCCAATAAGCTGGTTGGGGAGCACAGCCAAAACAGCTTGGGACTTCGAAGCTGAACCTATATTCTTAGAAACAAGAATGTTGGCGTTCTCGTCAGCGGATTGTGCCTGCGGGAACTTAGACCGAGATTTTAGGGAAATGGAACACAGCCCGAGTTTTCTGAGAATAGTCAGTGACTGACTTCTGTACAGGAGTTGAGACAGCGCGCAAGGCGGTTGTAAACGCGTGAGATACATGAAAGCCTGCTGTTCACTGAGAATCGTTCTTTTTTAGTAATTTCTAAACGACAAAATCAGTTCAGCTGAAAGATTGCGCATTAATATCTCGTGTGGAGTTTTGGTTTTGATAAGTTTTGTGATCAAGAAAGAAGGTCAAGTGGGCCACGGTCGGATAACAACCTTCACCAAGCAGGAGTCTTTGAAATGTCCCAAACGCCAGACCGCATCTAGAGCTCAGAGCCAGTTGGTTTTAGTGGGCAAACCAGCCGCATTTAGGCAACTTGCAGCAAAGATAGAAAAAAATCACATCTTCAGGGGAGTAGTGTTTCGAAGTTGGCCGATGCCATAATTCGAATGCCTCCACCGCCCAAGTGAATTCGTCGCATGTTCATAAGATTTAGTCCTGTCCTGATTGGACAGCGGTAAACTCGCTTACCTCGAACAGCTGTTTTGAGTCCTTCAAAACATTATAGATTCGTCCTCCTAAAATTAATAACCTAAGTTAATGAGTAGATAGTATTGAATGTGTTTTATTTTCGATGAGGCCCAAAATTCCCCCCCCCCCCCCCCCCCCCGCCCCTCCCAAACATACAGTAGATATTACATGTATTTTGAGTAACGCGAAAGTAATAGAGCAAAGTAACGAAGTAATTAATAATTTACTTTTACGGGGAGTAATTTGTAACGGTAATTCATTACCTTTTAGGTAAAGTAATTGTAATTGTAATTAAGTACTTTTTGGAGTAACGAGCACAAGTCCGCCCCCGTGTTTGGTTTGCTAAAGTGGAACGAGTGGAGGGCTTTTGGGGGGGGGGGGGGGGGGGGAGAAAGGCTTGTCCTGTTTTTCCCAACTTACAACCAGGGGCGGATTTATGAGTCAGGCTGGGAGGGGGGGGGGGGGGGGGGCGAGGGGCGAGGTGTAGAGGTATCTGACGACACGGACGGATGGACGCCACTGGCGGTAAATTACCCAAACCTATTTTGTTCATCGAAAATTTCCCCTTTCACCAAAAACTAGAAATTTATTCCTAAAAAAGAAATCTGAAGTCTGTCAATTGTTTTCCTGAAAAATGTTGACCCTTGGCGGCTTAAAGAAGGCGGTCGCCGCCCCCTAGATCTATCGCTGCTTGGTACAGACTATAGGATCTTCTGCCTCGCAAAAGGTCGAGTTTCTTTCTACGTCGACATTTACCTAATGTCAAAATTTGTAATGCAGCTTAAAAAAAGGGGGGGGGGGGTGGTACATACACATGGTAATTATTTATGTCCAGAGTGATTGTTTCATAAACGTTTAACAGTGCTTGGAATTGGGCTAGTTGGCTTTCGTGCTTTGGCTAAGCTGTTCTGCGAAGGATTACAAGTAACGATACTGATTGGGATTAGGCTAGTGTCGTTATTTGTAAACCTTTGCAGAATCAAAACATTAAAAACCAACTACGGCATTCCTAATCAGTGTCGTTATTTGTGATCCTTCGCAGCGCAGATTTATCAAGGCACTTTATAGACGTGCGCAGAGCCTCACCTTGACGACTTCCTCCGGGTACCACATGGCGGGCTCGTACCTGCCCACCTTGCACTTGTCGCACTGCTGCCCGTACAGCTTGAAGGTGACCAGTCCCTCACCGTGGCCCGTCAGCAGGAACCAGAATGAGATGCGGCCCTTCATGGACGTCCAGCCGTGGCCGCACTCCTGCGTGCAGCGTCCCGCGCCTTAGTCACGTCTCTAGAGGTCCTTGCTGATTTTGAGATAAAACGAAACACCAATTCAGTTTCCCCGCCACATTTAGCGACGAAATTAATAAAATATATAGATTCTGCATTTCCGAAACGGCCGTTTAATGTCTTCCCAACAAATTGAAAGGATCGCCCTTTAAAGATATTGCATTCGATGCACTAAGGTACTTTAGATACGAAGGTCACTGCCAATATTTTGTTATTGTATGCGTTATCATTCATCTGCGCATTACGGGAGTATAACATTTAAAAAAAAATTGAAACGAAATATAACCCAATTTTTTTTTTTTTATGGTAGGACTGTTGGCATCGGAGGGGGAAGGGAGGGGGGGCCTTTTTTTTGCTTGCAACTTTTTTTTAATGGGTTTTTAAGTATCGCAACACCCATTTTGAATAAGCTCAGACACTGTCAACAATTGCGTTTCGTTTAAAAATTCAGTCTTTTACCAGGACAGCTTCAAAAATATAGCTTCAAAGTTTCAGTTCAATATTTTCTTTAAAAAGAGGACGGCGCCGGCGCCGTCTCTAAAATGTTTTTTTTTACCCTCCCTCAGCGCTTATCTGCGATGCGAGTGAGCGAGCGAAGTCATACATTTGAATCAAGTTTTGGCTTATGCAGGAGTAAAAGCCGGCAAGGGGCATGCTTGGGTAAATTGCTTCGGAAATGCAATTTAACTAGAATTACAACTATATTTGCTTCAAACGTAGTTAAATTACAGTTAAACTTACTAGCGCAAAAAAAAAAAGTAACTGCAACTATGCATTACTTTCAGAAAGTAAGGCAATTATCGAGCAATTAAATTTCCAAGTCTGCCCGACCTCAATACTGTTGATGTGACTTTTTCCAAAGCCACATATATTTGTTCATCGTTACTGGGTCATATAGGGTGCAGTGACAATTTCCATTCATCAGATTTTATGTCATTGTTTCACTGGCTTCTGATTGTTTGACAATGCAGCTGAGTTCCGACTATAATAGGCGTTTTCCTTTGCAACACCACCGATATTGTTAGTATTTTTGTTTTATGATGACAGTTCAAAAGAAGCGATTATTGGTATCAGCAGGCATTAAAAGAATATAATCGAGGCTTAAACTCCTAATGACTCCGGAAATGGGACACATAAGTTGTAAATAAAAGATAACCTTTTTATATCCCAATAGCATCATTTTTATCCTTCCGCTCCATCCTGACAATTGCAGGCACTCCCTCTTTATGTGAGCATCTCCTGTGACTCTCTGCAGCGGCTTTGCCTTTGACAGTCGCTCAACTGCGCCCCAGGTCGGTGCCCTGACGCAATCTCGGCGCTTTCGAAGTCCGGCAGGTTGGCAAAAGGGCAATGAGGCTGGCTCCTTGTCTTTTTTCTCCTTTCGGTGACTTTATGAAGGAATCTTTAAGGTTACAAGGTCGCGACTAAAGTACTTGTAGTTGTAATTAAAATTCTGCAATTACCGGGCCTAGAAACTAATTAATTTACAAATGCAAGATCTACGAACATCAATCACTTCAAAAAAGGTAATTACATTACTGTGATTCAATTACCGTGTTTGAATTACTTCTTAAGTACGGCAAAGGGCGCATTGGGCCGCTTTCTCCTCGAGCGGACCAGTGCTCGAAAATGGGTGACGTCAGCACAAGTTGGATAGTCTAGTGACGTTACTGTTTTTGTCTGTGACCTCAAAGTTATTGTGCCCTTTTTTAACTTATTCATTATAAGTAACCTATTTCCAATTTCGTGAAAGGTTTGTCTAAAAGAGAAAAAAAAAAATCTTATTTCCAGCAGTTAGACGGACCGTTGTTTGGGGAACACCTTCAGGGCCCGTTTGCTCGAAGCTGGTTAACTAACCGCGGTTAACCGGATTTCCCTACGAGGGGGAATTTTAGGTCATGTGACCGGCAGAGTAAGGACGGCGGGGAAACATGGCGGTGCCCCGGTGAGTGAGCGCCGCTCGCTTTGGAAATAATACGTCGTTGTAGCTCCAATATCGGGCGCGTTTGTTAGCAATGAATGGTGCAGGAGGCTTTCGATTTGCCCTACCTCACTTAAAACGCAAAGCATGAGCAATGACATCGCCGCATTTTTTAGATAGTCTTTCGATTCTAGCAATTCGTAAGCCTAAATGAACGCGATAATTGTCGGCATGGCAACGGCTTTGAAAAGTGTATTGCCTTGACTCAGTCGGCCGGGTACTGATAGTACACAAAAGCAGACAGCGTCCCCATAGACCTTATGCTGTATTTCCCAAGCACCAAGGTGCATGCCATGAGTGTAGTTACACGCGCTGCGCGTGCTGGCGTCTGCAGTAGTAAGTATTCGAAAGCAAAAAGCCTACAACAAATTTTGCCGTGCACGCGCGTTCGTCAAAGATTTATTATGATTAGTTACTTCGAATATTTTATAAGTGGAAGGCCAGTGCGCGCGGATCGTTGAATTACACTTCCAGTGTTCTCCTCAATGTTAGGGTAATTTACTAATAGGTTAATTTTCACTGGAGCCGAATTACAGGTTTCTCAATTCATGAGAGTTATATACAGTTCTTACATGCTGGCCAACCATGCTGCCGGTGTAACACCCGCATTTCACTGCTCACTTCTTTCTCATCGTTTCTAGGACTGAACTTCGTCGTCCTCTTTTGAACTCGGAAGGAAATTTCAACGAGGCTTGTCTTCACTTCAGACAGCCAAATATTTCGAAATTTTCCAAACATGGGTTAATTTAGTTTTACCTTACCGATTATCTGTACCACGAGCAATAAAAATTGTTTCTCGAGCTCAAATGTATGCCGCGCTGCGTCGCGAAAACACGGTAGCGCGCTTTTTTAGGTCCCCCCCATCTCGGGAACCTTTCCACGGAAGCCACATATATTCGCTACAACCAGGAGGTGACACCAGCTACCACCCCAATAATAAAACACGGAGGTATCGCTCATCCAGCCCTCGTCAAACTTGGCTAGGTACTTTTAGGTACCTAGTAGGGAAGGGCGGTTAACTTTTAACCGCGGTTAAAGTTAACCGGCTTCGAGCAAACGGGCCCAGGAAGGCAACAAGGCGTCATCTGACTATCACCACCCAACTGCTGTGCACGCCCGCACGTGCCACGATTGCACCCCTAGCTATGAAAACACTAGAGTGCTTGGCTCACACAAGGACAAGTATGGGCGAGAAATAACCGAAGCATTTAGAATCAAGAATGCCGCAGAAAATGTTTCAGAACTTTTGTTGTAGTTATCGACAAGAGAGCTGGAACTCCTCGCGCCAGAGTTATCACATAAAAAAAGCCTCCTTCAATTTTCTTCTTCTTTTTCATTGAGTTAAATTCAGCTATCTTTATCTTTTTCTGGTATCTTTTCTGTATTTTTGTTTTCCTTCAATTTCCTCTCTGACCAAAATGGTTTTCGTAGTGCGATTGGACATCATATAAATGTATCGTTGCTCGTTGAAAGAACTGTGTCTCTCCCTCATCCATTCCAGTTTTTTTCTGTGGGAACTATACTTTTTTCTGTGGGAACCAGTGAAACTGAAGCGTGTGCTTCAGTTTCACTGGTCTCGGGCAATATTCTACAATAGAGTTATTATAATGTACGCCAGAGGTTCAACTGACGCTAACACAAATTGAAGCGGACAGCCACTAGACCAAAATTGACTTTACGGTAATGCATTTCTATGGGAAAAAGTTCGTGTATTTTCTCCGTATACGCTCAATCGTAGGAGCAAATATTCCGAATAATTCGTACGTACTAGGTAGCTTGGTACATTTTTCAGTCGGGCCGACGAAATAATTGGTCAGTTACGGCGTTTTTCTTTCAAATTCATTGCATTAAAAACGGTGCTAAAACGGCTTCGTACGTGTATTTATGTGCACTGCCGGACACTGTTAGCGCGAACACGACGTCGGCGCTTTTCGGCATGAGGGATATACGTGCCAAACGAACGAAGAACAACTAGGGATCAGTAACTACCCGTGCATGTACGATCAAAATAAATCGAAGGCCACGTAATATATTACGATATTCAATAAGTACTGCTTTTTTCTTTCTCCTCTGTGCGAATATGGTTGTTCTACGTTCAAAATATCACCCCTACGCTCGAAATCTCTGAGAACAAGTGCCCGATAAAAGCGCCACGGCAGAGAAAACAATACAAAGAGACACCTTTCATAGCCATCGTACTTCATTCTTTACGTTTTGAATGTTTTTAACCGCTCATAAGGATGCAGGGTGGGGTCATTTTCATATAGTGACACAGGACTGGCATATTAGCAATATACAGTTTTTTTCCTTTTTTTCTTTTTTTCTTTTTTTTAAGATTTACAGGCTTGTTTAGAAAAAGCCGTGGAAGTTACACTTATGCGGTTTGTGCAGGTCAGTTATACTTCCAGGGGGACTTAGTATAGGGGGCTAATCGTACCAATAAGTCGGCTAGTTAATTGAAATTTGTTAATTAACCTTTTAATTAATGAAAACAGACATATGGTTCCAATTATAAACTTACTGATCGTCATTAAAAATCACTAAATCAGTAATTTTAGAAAGACTTTGTACGCGTGAGAACCGTAGAGGTACACTAAAGTTACCTACCACTCGTGAAGCAGGTACAAGGCTAGCGGTTGCGGAACGCGGACGATTAGATTATCATCGTGTTCCGCCACTGCTAGCTTTGCGTCCGCTGCTCGAGTGGTCACTTTGGCGCACCCCGAGTTTCCCACGAGCTTCAAGTCGTTCTAAAAAGAGTCGATTTAGTGGTTTTCGATGACGCTCAGTAAGTCTCTGATTGGAATCATATTTCTATTTTCAATAATTAAAAAGTTCATTAACAAATTTTATTTCTTTAGCTGACTTATCGCAAATATGAGTCACCCACATAGCGTCCCCTTAGCCGTATAACTCACCTCCACAAGCCGCATAAGTGTAACTTTCATGACCTTTTTAAACAAATCTGTAAAGCTTAAAAAAAAAGT